GGCATGAAGAGGCAGGTAGCGAAGTTCGTGGATGGGTGCCTGGTGTGTCAGCAAGTGAAGGCTGAGCGCCAGAAACCGAGAGGGTGATTGCAGCCCCTTGAGGTTCCCCTGTGGAAGTGGGAGTGCATCACCATGGATTTCTTAGTGGGACTGCCAAGGTCGAGGAGTGGGTATGATTCGATTTGGGTGATAGTGGATCGCCTTACGAAGTCTGCCCATTTTCTGCCAGTCTAGACGACCATGAAGGCGAGTGATTACGCCGAATTGTTCGTCAAGGACATTGTTAAGCTTCATGGAGTGCCCGTGGAGATTGTTTCGGATTGAGATGCCAAGTTCACATCCCAGTTCTGGAGGACGTTGCACTGAGCCATGGGGACGAGGTTGGAGTTCAGTACAGCCTTTCACCCCCAGACAGATGGTCAGTCGGAGCGTGTGATCCAGTACTTGGAGGATATATTGAGGGCTGTGGTCTTGGACTGAAGCCTGACTTGGGAGTATGCCCTGCCGCTAGTCGAGCTGACCTACAACAACAGCTACCACTCTTCGATCAAGATGGTCCCCTACGAGGCTTTGTACGGACGTAAGGTTCGGACTCCTTTGTATTGGGATGAGGTTGAGAGAGGAGGATTACGGGTCCAGATTTTGTCTAGAGTACTGCAGCGACCGTTGAGGAGATCCAGAAGACCATCAGGTCTGCCCAGGAGAGGCAGAAGGTCTATGCCGACCGGGAGAGGCAGGAGCATGTTTATGCTGTGGGAGATCACGTCTTCCTGAAGGTTTCAACCATGCGAGGTGTGATTCGCTTCGGGAAGAAGGGGAAGCTTAAACCTCGCTATATTGGGCCGTTCGAGATCCTCGACCGAGTCGGGAACTTAGCGTATCGGCTGGCTTTACCACCAGACTTGTTGGGTGTGCACGATGTGTTCCATGTCTCGATGCTTCGGAGGTATGTGCATGATTCTGATCATGTGGTGGACTTCGGCGAGCTGCAGGTCGAGCGAGACCTTACCTATGAGGAGGTGCTGGTAGCTATCCTGGACCGAAAGGTCCATCAGCTGAGGAATCGGGCAGTGAGCTTGGTGAAGGTGTTGTGGAGCCGACACGATGAGACCAAGGCGACTTGGGAGAGGGAGGACGGTATTAGGAGGCGTTATCCGAACTTTGAGTTTTGAGTTATCCTTTGTATTTTTTTTTATCGCTATCTAGTTTCGTTTTTGAATTCCGAGGTCGGAATTCTTTGTAAGGTGGGTAGACTGTAACGCCCCATTCGTTTATGAATAAATTAGATTTTTATTATTCTTATTATTATTGTTATTATTATTATCGCCATTAATATTAATTGTTATTTGTCTAATTGCCTATATGAATTTTATGTGCCTTTTGTGTATTTGTAATAAATATTAATTGTAGAGATTTTATATAATTACTAAATACTATTTTAATTTAATTCAATTTTCGTCGAAACGGGCTTCGGGTCGAGCCAATTAGCCGCGCCCTCGCCCGTGCCCAAGGCCCGAAGGCCCGCGCCTGCGCCTAAGACCCGCCCAGCCCTCTTTTTCTCTCTTGGGTAGCTTGTTGACTAAGCTATGAAGTCAAAGCCCTAGTCCTATAAATAAAAGAGATTGGACTCTCTTCCTCATCATTTTTTTTCCCGCAGCCACTCTTTTCTCTCCTCTCTCTCTCTCGCTGATCTCTCCCTCACTCTCATCTCTCTCGCTCCCTCTCTTTTTCTCTTTTTCTTTTTGTATCTCCGATCGCCTTGCGTCGCCCCATCGTGGTCCATCGCTGTCGTCCTCCACCGCGTCAAGCATCGCGATCACTGCCGCCTCCATCGACCTGCTCCTCATCGTGTACTGTTCGTGTGTAGCAGTCGTTCGTTGCGTCCCAGGCCGTCGCTGTTCGTGCTCCCCGTCGTTGTCCAGCGTTCCCGCGAAGCGCGCAGGCCCTCCCAGCGCCCAGCGATCGTGCGCAGGCCCCCTCCTCGCCCCGTTCGAACCCTCTTTCGTGCAAATCTCTCCAAGGACGGTACAAGGCTGTTTAAACCCCCTTATTTTATGTGTGTATGTGATATATGTTAAGCCTTGAGGAGAATTGCATGCTAGGATTTGAATATTGATCATTTAATTTCATGTTTCGTTCGTTATTTGTGTTCGTATGTGATTTATGCATAAATTGTGAATAGGGCTGTAGATTATTGGAACATTTGAAATCTTTTGCCTCATGGAGAAGGCCTTAGACGTTTTTGTTGAATAATTGGTCTCTTATGCATTTTTGAATCGGGCATTGCTGCTGAATCTTTGAAAAATCACTATAAATTGTGTGTTCGTCCGATTGTCGTAAAAATCGAATTATATTACCCTCCGATAGTATTATACGTGGTGTAAAATTTTTAAGTCGAAATGAGGTCTGTAGCTATGTCAAATGTCGATTTGAAATTCTGGGCAGAAATTTTGAAAAATCATTAAAAATTGAATTCTGAAAGTTTTGCTGTGATTTTTGTTGAGTATTAGTAATCTGACGTTATGTGTGTTGTGTCAAAATTTCGTTGGAAAATTCAAAGGATTGCCTGGTGAACTAGAAAGTTCAGGTTTTCATCGTCTTTCCGTAAAAGTTGGTTGCTTATGTTAAACTGAAGATTTGGGTCTGAAACCTTGTGAAGATATGACTTTCTGGGTCTATTTTAATGTGTAAAAATTTCGAGTAAATTGGTCGAGTGCATTTTGAAATCGGCCGGTCCTATTTGAAACCCTGCTTGTCTGTCGGGCCCTGTGCACTGCTGCCAGCCAGCGTGATACGGAAATGGAGTTAGGGACCGACAAGTCTAGTGAGGGGCTAAAAGGCAAAACGTGTGCATTGGCACTTGATGCACACGAGTGGGCAAATGAGCCGCGCACGCGGGAATGGCGAGGAGTACGCGGGCGCATGGGTGGTGGGTGCACGGGTGTACGTGGATTTGCTGTAGGCGAATTGGGCCTGGGCGGTAGCTGGGACGCGCGCAAGGCAGCGGCCGGGGACGCAAAGCGCGCGAAGGCGCGCGAGTGGATGGTATGCGAGGGTGCACGCCTCAACACGGTAGGCATAGGCGAGGGGAATTGGGCGCACGCGCAAAGGAAAAGGCGGCACTGGCTGGCGCGCGCACAGGTGCGCGGGTTCGATACGGGCGCGCAAGTCCTAAGGCGCCGAGGACTAGGCAAGCGCGAGAGGCGACGCACGGATGACGCGTGCGACGCAGACGAGATATGAGGCGGCCGAGGGTTTTAATTTGGGAGCTTCTGGAATTACTTGGTGTGCAAGCCAAGCATTAATATTATAGTAATAGTAGGATTTTATTGCTTTCTAGTATTAGGATTTCTATTATTGCAAGAGTTAGGAGATCTAGTTTATTTAGGCCTAGATTTATTTTATGCACCTATAAATACCCCATGTACCCAACACAATTTGATGTCTTGAATTGAGTATTGAATTGGTGAGCCAATTTTGAGGGGAACTTTATGTTCTAACGTGTGATAAACAAGGCCGTCAGTGCGTGTTTACATACAGTGTCGGAGAGAAGGCCCTGAGAGCATCTCGAAGTCACAGTGTCTGGGAGAAAGCCCTGAGTGCGTCTGCTAGATACACCTATCGTGTCTAAACAAAGGCCCTGAGTGCGCCGTTTATTCACAACCCAAATATAGATAACAACACGATCCGTCATCATTGGTGCTTTCATTGAGAGGTGCTGATCGTGTTATTATCTATCTATCTTTTTTTTTTCTTTTTCTGTTTTTCGGTTTTGCCTTTTACTGAGGGGGCCAAATTTTTATTCTTTTTTGTTCGAAATTGAATTTTTCATTTATTTTTCGAAAGTCTTAAAAAAAAGTGTCATCTTGTTAGTCCTTTGTTTGATTTTTTCGGTTATTACCTTTTGTTGAGGGGCCGAAGTTCTCTTTGTTTTATTTTATTTTTGATTCGAATTTTTGTTCGAATTTTTAGAGTAA